AATTTTCCCATAATTCCTTCCGTAGGGTAGATAATAAGCATTTAATTTTGCCATTTTTGGATAAGGGTGCATTGCAATGAGCGCCACACCTAGACCCCTGTACCGACAAAGCCCAAATTTTACGTGGAACGAGTTGAGATTATAGGTGACCTAAATCCAAGAGATGGATACGCAGGTCCTTGTAGTCTAGGAGGAGAAGCGGTAACGATGACATGGCGGCGGAGCCGGTGGAACAGGCGGTTCGGGACTACGCTGGTGGTACAATAATCAAGACCCAGGCAGTGACATACATATCCAGCGGTTGGGACCAATGAGGTGAGCTATTCTTGACATCGGGGGATAGTTCAGGGATTTGCAATGACTACCCATCAATATCGTGTACTTGAAATATTGTTCTGCCAATATATACTAACATTCAAACTTTGAGGAAGAAATGTATGCATATTTCTACTTGTAGGGGCTAGTTATTACATTTTAACGTCCACATGCGTGTAGGTGTGTGTGTCAACCACGAATTCTAGAAAAAGTTTCAAGTCTATACGATACTTGTACTTACGAGTTTGGAATTATTTCATTATACAACTTTTGTTTGTTGCTCAGGTGCTCAAGTGATCAATATGGAGTGCATATCCAGCAGCAGCAAAACTTCTACAGTGACGCCGAGAATTGCTAGTGCACGTCATCCTATTGCAATGCGGCCCAGGTCTTTAGACCCAGAATGATCCGTCGTCCCGGTATCGCGGGGCTGATGACCTTTTGTTTCAGTATATATATGTTTAACTCTTCGAAAGGGAAGAAAACGGTGTATTTTAACTTTACACAGTGAATGGTCATTTGGAACATTCATGACCGATGAGTTATGAACGTTGCATAATATTTCATGTTTTGTTTTTTTTTTCAGATTATGACGAGAAGAAAAGTCAAAGTATCTGTTATTGTTAATCTCTAATAACACATATATATATATATATATCATTTTACATCCTGCATGTTGAGAAAATACATGTAGAGGTGCTTATACAGATTGTTACATATAATTATTACTTTTGCCCATTTGGACGTGTGGATTTATTTTCACAGATTTACTCTCCGTACTTTACTCTTTTTACTCTTTACAGCGTAAGTTCTTATACAGAGTTATATACAGCCAAAATGATAAGATACTGGCCCAGGAAAGTGGAATCTTGGGAACTTCAGAAGAGAATGAAATCCCATCTTCTCCCAATTTTATACAATGGGTTGTTTTAGTGCTTCCTTAAGTATTTTGAATTAGGTACAATTCCCAGAGATATTTGGATCGATCAATCTCCCTGGGGAGTCTCACTAAATTGCTATCAATCAAACCGGCTTAAACGCCTGTCACAAGCAGTTAGTCTATTAGGGGGTAATTATCTTTACCTCTAGCTGATTCGGTAAGGGTGACATTTAAGCGTGACAGTTAAGCCTCTTGAGCTGATTGTAATTTAGCGTGAAACCCCAGGGAGTATGGTCGATCCAGATGGATCGATCTAAGTATGGGAACCCAGTCTTAGTTAAATTGTGCTGCATGTTAACCCAAGTCGCTTTTCTTTTTTATTTTTATTGTAGTTTTGACTATCCCTTTGTACCAAATCAAAGGGTGTACATAGACATTTTATTATATTATAACCAGGTACATGTATATTGAAACATAATATAATTCCCCTTTTTATTTTGGATTTTGGAGAAATATCCAAGTGTTATTGTTTATCCTTGGCTTATTTAAACTACTGTGTTTTAATATGTTCTTCTCACCGTAGAACATATACAAATAATTTATTACATTATCTTTATATGGTGGAGATAACCGGTATACACTTATTGAAGGCGATTTTGATTGCGCTTGTGCAACTTTTCTATATGCCCAGGTCAAGGTATGCTGTCATTCTGCATTCTCTCAAAGCAAGTTCTCAGGACCAAACAAATGGAAATTTGCTCCTTGTTCCTAGTTCTGTCAGTCAACATTTTGTAAATGTCTTCAAATCATATTTATTAAATGAATTTCAGAAGGACTTTTAGAACACAACACTGTAAATTGTGCCACTTGTCATACCGTGAAATAATTTATTTCAAACTGAATATAAACATATTAACACACAGGCAACTAAGATTGTTAAGGGATCCCTCTTCAACAGTAGAGTGTTGTATATATAATGAAATTAGACATTTAATACACATTTGCACCTATGTACTAAAATCAACTGGTCTACACAGTATATTTTGCTCATTATTTCTCAGGCATGTTGAACAATGTAATGACATTCTTCATAAAATGTTTAAGCACGTTTTATGAAAGCATGATTCTTATCAGTCTGGAGTGTCTATATATACATATATATGTACAATAATAATAATAATAATAATAATAATAATAATAATAATAAATATTATTAAAGTCTAAAATCCAAATATTTTCAATAGAATTAACAATGTAAAATAAATCTTCTGTACAATACATCTTTCTTCATTCAAATAAAATACTTAAAATGAAAATTTTTGCAATAAGAAAAATATTAATCGCTTGCTTAAGCACATTTCATTCGGGACATGTAGGGAATTTCTGTCAAATTTCCATTCATTGCCAATTGAGTCACGACCATGACCGTAAAATCAGAACGTTTGTTTTTTCAATGCTGTACATATCTCTCAAATGTGAATTGTTCCATGTGACTTAAAGCTGGTCCGTGGCCAATTCGGTGACATCATTATGCATTAACATTTACATAATTCTCGTCTTATCATTATTGAAATTTATTGCTTGCTTCTCTTTTCGTGTTATCAATCCAACTCTTCTTGGATGTTTTTCCTTGGTGTTCCAGAGGACTTTAAATTTGTCTCTTTCCCTGTCTCCTCAAATTTGGCTGCATTGTGGCTCTCTTCCATTTTTTGTTTGTTCCCTTGTCCGGAGTTGCTTCTTCTGAATCCCTCAGATGTCGCTTTCAAACGCATCTGGTCAAATGGAGAGACATGGGGTCGTAGATTAGGCATGGTTTGGGGAAATCCAGCACGACCAAATAGAAAATTGGCGTTAGGAGGTTGTCCGTCTTTACCAACAGCCCTTTGGGGTTGACCGCTCCTAGAACCAACGGAAGTGCCTTTTTTGTTCTCATCGTCGCGCGCATTTTTGGAGGCCGTCAACGACCCAAATGGAGGGTGGGCATCCGGTGGCGATTGGTCTTTAGAATTACCGGTGGTCCTCATCCTTTTTAGCAAATTTTCAAACTGTCCACCCACTGAATGCTCAGATGCCTTGGTGACTTGTTGGTTAGTTGCTTCACTACCTGGCACAGTTCCACTTGCGGAACTCTCGTTTCTTGCGAGCGAGGTTATTGTATCCCACATTTTAAAAAGGGTTTCCGGGTTATCCTTCATCCAAGTCAAGATGCGAGATCCGGTCCCTGAAATCAACGTATAAAACGTACATAAGATTACTGCATGATTTTAAAATATTTACTACAGTAATTACCTTCAAGCAATTCAACTGCATTTAGTGAATCGTTTCCCATACAATTTGAAAGAAAAAAGAAGGATCAAAGTTACTTTACATCGAATATAATTCTTGTGTGGAACAGTTCATTTTCAAAGGTAAGGGCAGTAGTAAAGTCATCATACTCTGATAGAAATGGCAAATACTTACCTTCGGCTTCGTTAGGTTGTTTGGAAATCTCAGACAACTGAGACTGTCTCTTTTCCAAAGTGGTCTTTAAGGTGGAGATCGTTTCCTCCATGTTCTCTTTGGTCCTGTTGTGCTCTTCCTTCACATCCTTTATGGACTTTTCTAAAATCTGGGCTTGGGTCTTCAGTTCAGACTTCAGAAGCTCCTCGTGCTCTGCTTGCCTCTTTGCAAGTAAAGCTTTGTAACCGGCCTCGGTTTCTTGCAGCTTCTTCTCAAACTCGCCTTTCAGCATATCCATATTGGTCTGCATGCTGCTTTCAACATCGACTAGTTGTTGTTTCAACATCTCTGTTTCGCGGCTCTTTGCGGCGGCATCAGCAGCTTGTCTTTTGGCTTCTTCTTCTAGTGTAGCCTTTTCCATGTTCATTTCAGTCATTGCCTAAATAAATGATATACATATATTGTTTCTTAGTGCACCGTATCTCAACCGATTTGTCTTTGCATTTCCTTTAGTAATTTTGAGGTCTTAAACTACCTGGTTTATTCTAATTTCTAAACTTGTGGGCAATATCATGTTAGTCTTCATTCCACTGTACAAAGAAATAAAAATCTCTACCGAGAGAGAGAGCGGGGTCTAATTTTACCTTATCTCCATCTAAAATGACCTTTCTTTGTTCTTGTTTATCGGCAAGAAATTTAGCCAACACCTCCTCCGCTGCTGGACCCTTTCCCTTAGATGTTTTGAACTTCATTACTATTGTATCTATCTCTCCTTTATATTTCTCATACCCGCCATGGACGCTGAAGGCTGCCTCATCTAGCTTTGGCTTCAGTGACTCCTGTTCAAAGCCTTTCAAAAGGAGGTCGCACTTTTGGACAGATGCCAGCCAATTTTTTTCTGTGTAGCCCCGGAAGCGGTTGATCAGTGTAGCCTAGAATTGGTAAAAAGCAGAAGCAAAAAATGCATTTCAACAGGTATTATTTTATTGAATGTAAGTGTTCCTTGGGTTAACGAAGGAACGAAAGGGTTAAAGGAGTTATTACAGATTTGTCACCGTCATCTATCTCTATTCATGACACAGAAAACGAGGACGACCATGAGAATCAATTAACATAGGTTAAGTAACATCTCAGTGTATCGGTTGTCTGAATAGATATCGAAGAAAGAGTCTGGGGATATCCATTCCATTGGACCTCACCTGCAGTTTCTCTGAATACTCGCCGTCAGAGTCGAGCATGGCATTTGCGTGGTACAGCTTCACAGCGGAGTCAAAGGCTGATTGATGTTTCTCAGAGAGACCCTCAATGTCAACCGGCAGAGCCTCTCCCAAGGCGTCGTCCATCTCTCTTTCATATGCAGCCGAGGCCAGTTTAATCGCCTGTTTACATTCGTTCCTTCCCATCACTGTCACTGCGCTCTGGACACATGGCACTGCCCCGTCATTGATGGCGCCTACATAGGACTGGGCTAACTGAAGTAATCCTATGGAAGGAAGAGTATATGCATAGGGGAAATATGTAAAACAAAAGCAATTTTAATATACTTACACATGCCAACAACTTGAGAATTTGTGCATTTCGGTAATTTTATCGATCGACCAAAAATATACACAGGCATTCATCTATTTATCTTTTGATTGATTTTATCTTTGTACATATTTAGTTTTTTTTATTTACCAATCATTGCATTTAATTTTCATTATATTTTCATCAATATACAAAAAAATATTTACTTCTGCCGCTTATTATGCAACCACCCACATTCATCTGCATCTTTTGCTTTAAAATCCACTCTTTGAAGTGCTTTGACTGCTGGACAAACTCGGGCTTTAGGTCTTCAGTATTCAGCGTGTCCAAGGTGTGTAACTTGGAATCTTCTTCAACAGGTCTGCATAGCGTAAAGCACTTCGTGTCTTTGAAAGACGATGTGATGCATTCTCTCGGATAATTATAGTCACGAATGGCTTGACTGCGTCCTGCTTTGAGCTGCAGAGCCCACTTGAGGTATTCATCTTCCGTACAAGGTTTATCGTCAATCTCAAGATCTAGTCCGAAGTCTCGTACAACCCAAACAAAGACGGGGAAAGAACCGTCGAAGTTTTCACCGGTTTCTTCGTTGGCTGTGTCCTGAAGCTTGATGTGCTCCGTCAGTGATGTAATGAAACCATAAAGTTGAGGAAAATGGCTCTGAGTCATATTTCAATTTTATAAAGAACATAAACGTGAGATGTTGATTTAGAATATGGATAATACTAAATGCTACCGAGCAGATAAGTACATTTAGAAATATTACCCATTATAAAATTAAATAGTTTCTTTTTCATGAATGACCACAAAGCTCTTTGAAAAATGCAACTAACAAGTTCTAAACAAATTTTGTCTAGCCATACACAGCTATCCTTTTTGTAAATCACGAACGAAGACAATTATGTAAAAGATACTGAAGACTTCTTATGGCGTCATCACTTATTGTTCCCATACTGTTATACACCAAGCAACTTGACAATAGCACGGCTAACGCAAATATCTGGTTATCGTGTTTTTCATCACCCTTTTTAGGGTCAGACAATCCTTCCGTGTCCAAAAGCACCAAGCCTTGATTTGCATCTAGTGGGTGAGGGCGGTACCATAACCAGATTCCCTTGGTTTTGGACTGGATCGTGGACCCTAATGCAAAGCCATTGCTCTCGCCGAACAGTAAGTTCATCAAATAGGACTTCCCCGTACGATACTTGCCTGTAATACCAATCACGCTTACAGGGACATTGATGTTTTGCAGGACTGCTATTGCATCTTTGCCGACTTCAAGCTTTCCATTTTCTGTCCCAATAAAAAATACTGGTTTATCCATTGCCCCTGGTTCCTGGTGAAGAATAATAAATGATAACTACTTTAACAAACTTTTGATTATTCCTATCTTTGCTGGCATAATGACAGCTATTTTCATATGTAGGTGTCCATGCTGTATAGTTTAACATTTGTCTGAATGATGAATGATCAAGGTTGTTCATTAATTGTCAGCTTTTTTATTTCCTTGACGGATTGTTATAAATAGTTAGCAATGTCCCACAGCGAGTGAATTTAAATAAATGATTTATTGTTTAGAAAAATAATAATTATTAATTTTTGACATTTGGGGACGCTGTGTGCCTGTAAGACATCAGCAGTTGGGTAAACAATGGAAGTCACCGTTGGGCCGAAGGACATTGCCTTAGACTTAGACTGGGTTTCCATCCCTAGATCGATCTAACAAGATCGGTCCATCTCCACGGGGTCCCTCGCTAAATTGCTTTCAGCCCAAGCGGCTTATTAGACGTTTGGGACGCCCACCAAAGCTGCTAAACGATTGTTAAAAACAGATTGCACCCCTCCTCAATAAAACAAGTGCTCCTTTAATGACCTGTGGCTCAAATGACTCGGGTGAATTGTCCAAACATAGCCAAGAACCACTCTTCCATATACATGTATAATGAAGATTTCCCAACTACATAACATAGTTATTTTAATTATTGAAAAACAACGTAATGTTTACGAACGTTTTGGTCGAGTGCATATACTCTGGATACTTTTGAAAATCTGACAGATACTATTAATAATAAAATTGGGACACTTTTTGAGGAAATAACCGAAAAGGATATACAGGGTTGTACTTAATATGGAATATTTTTATCATTGCTATTTTTGAGTGCTGATTAATTTTTTTTGGCTTGAGTCATTAAAAAAAAATATGTCACTGAGTGATAAAAATATCCAGTCTTCTGTTGTGAGATATTTTGGTCAATGATATCAAATCTGACATAAGATGCCATTCAAAAGATAAGAACACCCCCAGAAAACCATATCAACAGTTTGATGTCAGTATTAACTTTAAGCTAGGATATTAAAGAAAATGATAGCCTCCGGACAGTGATATGTTACACAGTCAAAGGACTCACTACAGTAAATCATGAAAAGTCAGTAATTGCGGGTATGACCTCCAGCAGCCGCTTGCAGCGCCCTCTTCCTACATGGCATACCCTGTGACACGTTTTTTAGAGTTTGGGTGGGGATATCATTCCACGCAGTGATATTTAAATGTCGCAGTTCATCACTATTTACCGACCGATGACCATAGCTATTAATTCTGTGAGTTACTTTAGCCCAAGGTTTTCAATTGGGTTCATATCTGGAGAGTTTGCAGGCCAGGGCAGTTGCTGAACCCATTGGTTTTGAAGAAGAACAGTAATTCTGCGGCCTCGATGTGGGGTTGCGCAGTCGTCTTGGTACACAAAGTTGTTCCTGAAGATGACTCTTACCAATCGAAGCATTGTTTGCCGTAGAATGTCTCTGTAGGAATCCTGGATGAGGTTGCCTTCTAGAAAAACAAACTGGTTCTGGGCACCAACATGAAATGCTCCCCAAACAGAGACGTTACCATCCCCTGCTTGCACCCTAGGCAGTGCACAAGCATCGTTTTATGCCCCTCGTACACGACGGTGGACACGGATACGACCAGCATCCCTAAAAAATCCATAACTGGCCTCATCACTGAAAACGACGTGATTCCAGTGTTTTGGCTGCAAACGCACGTGGTCCGTAGCCCATTGCAGACGTCGCTGTATGTGACCTGCTGTTAACAGTGCTTTCCCTACTGGCCTTTGTGCAAAATAACGGGCTTGCAGTAATCGCTTGTTCACGAGGGACCTTAAAACGGGCATTTGAATGACATTCTGCCTCTCTTTTCTGAGGACACTGGTTGTCTTTGTACGACCAGCACGGCGTCCTCTAAGGGGAAGGCGATCCTGTCTTCTTGGTGTGATACACGGACACCCTGGTCGAGGTATTGGAGTAGGTGGCCCTGTTGCAGCATTTCTTTGGATGACTTTACAAACGGTTCCTGATAAATGTTGAATTACCTTGCAATGGCTGTCCGTTTCTGGCCATTTTCTCTGAGAGCAAGAACCCCATAGTAAGCTGCGGTACCTAGCTGTCTAACCATATCTTCACTAAGGTACCTGTCAAGTTTCAAAGCGCCCTTTGTTGCTTCTCTAAACACAGTCCATAGATTGACCAAAGAGTTGTGTGGTAATTAGGTAACACACCTGGCTACACATGGAGTGACACCTCATCTTTGGATTTAAAGTAGTTAGAGAGAAATTAAATATTTTGTAGAAAATTTACTCGCCAAAAAATAATATTCCATATTAAGTGGTAACCCTGTATATATATACCTGTACCTCTGGCGCTAACTTCGCCCTGCTACATTAATAAACAAATGTTGCAGATCGTAACAAAACTCCATAGGTTACTGGAATATTTCTAAGTACACGTAAAGCTTTGTAAAGTCTCTATTGTCACACATCATAGTTATTGACTTTTCTCTTGAATGAAAAAATACCCTCAAATTATCGTTTTGTGCTTAAACCTTTCATAACTTGGACCGAGGTTTGATATACAGTGTACTGTAGCTAGTATGGCATTCCTCAAGTTGGGTCTGCTGGGGGCATTTAAATGATAAACGAGGAAGTCCACCTGTAAAGCAGCAGCGGTTTAAATGATCGCTATCTCGGTTCCTTTTTCTTTGACAGCATCATAGAAAATGTTAAGGGAGAAATCACCCCCCCCCCCCCCCCCCCCCCCCGGCGCTGTTTTGTCTTCAGCATTTCCTTCTTATTACTGCAATTATTATCGTAAATGAATGAAACCGAGAAAGCAATTAAGTGATGGCACATTGAATATAATCACTAGGCGTATTTCGCTGAGTGTAAACAAGATCTAGCGAAACATTTTATCGCCACGCGTTCAAGTCTGATAAATCGGGGGATTTTTATTCTGAATCGGGGAATCAGGAGATATGTCCCTAGATGGGGAGATTTTCGAGGAGACCGGTAGTGTTGTAAGGTCTGAGGAATTTAGTCTGTAAAATGTGAAGGCTAGCATAGATTATCATACAATGAATGGTATTATACGTGCCTTTGATCTTCAGTGTGTGCAATAACGAGTGACGCAAAAACGGCAAAATGTAAGCAAGGAGGGGTGTGTTTGTTTATGGGGGGGGGGGGGGGGGGCAGTTAGTGCTATTTGTTTGTGTAGTTGGCTAAAATAAAATAGTCCAGAATAGTGTACGTACACGTTTACGTAGTTGAACATGGAAAAGTTTTCAACTGATAATAAAAAACATCAGGCTAAAAACGAAATAGAATGTTTAGAAATTTAAACCGTTACTCTGGTGGCATTGCGTCATGGCTATGAATCTGACATGGAGTTTAGTCCGAAATATTAGTGAATTTAGAATTAATAGCTAAAACGTTAATTGACATCTGCCCTAATTTGTAAGATAACAAAAAATGCCGGTGATCCAAGCGGAGGATAAGCTTCCTTAAGGTAGGGGCGACGAACGGCGACGATTTCTTTCTAAACAACTTACCTGCCTGACAGTGCACCTGTATAAGTTACGAAAATGCCCTTTTCAACATGCGTATTTTATTAATTACTTCATGTCACAACGTTAATTTATGATAAGGCATTCGATGGAGGCATTGTACGCAACCAGACCTGCAGAATGCTGGAAAAACTACATTGCTGCGATGAACTAACAGAGCTAACAGAGGGTTGCGATTTTATGAAGAGTGAAAGCGCAAGCTTCGTGAAGATCAACACTAAAGATCACCGTTTATTCAACGATCTATTTTTCATACAAACTCACAAGAAATTATATTCAATTATCCGTACTGATCACACATTATTTGTTTTTGTTCTATTGTCTTTTGGATGATTAGCTCGTGGTAGAAACATTGAATTACATCGTGTAATGAACTCATCAAACCAAACTGTTTTATCTGTCACGTGCCCTCTTTTGCCAACTTTAAAACAGCTCCTACTCTTGTTGCTTCTTAAGAAAATTAAACTTGTGGTCAATAACTCCCTATCATATACTTTTTTATTCTCTAATCATGAAAAGCAAATAGTGAAAGATATACATTTAAGATATTAACTTAACGATACATTCTGTAATAGCTCACAATCAGTGTAGAGGGACCTTGAGTATAAAGTTATTTATTGCAAAATAAATTTATATGTGATTTTACCTCTGTCGTTTGTGTTATTTCAAACAAAACGATTTCCTGAAAGATCAACTTTAAAATGTGTGTCTATTCAGCAAAATAATGTAATTTAATACAACTGTGAGTAATGTATTTTAAGTACGGCTGTATATGCAATGGGCCATGTGGGATTATAATTGCATACTTTGATGCAAAACAGTCTATCGTTTCTTCCACCGCGAGTCCCTTTAATTAATGTATTATATTACTCTTTACCCTTTTTATCTGACACTGTCTCTGTTTCTCTCCCCTTTTCCTTTCTCTTGTAAGAAGAAGGGTAAATAATTAAGCACTCAAAATATGCATCACCAATCTTCAGAAAAGAAAGAGTGTATGAACCATTGGCTGGCCCACAACGTCCGACACAGCAGAATAAATCAAATAACAGCTTTCACAGATTTAACTGCAGTTAGCTGTATAGTGTCACTGTATACATAATCCACTGAACGCGCCAAGCTGTTGAACAAAAGGATAGTTCTCTATGGAAGACCTTTTGTTTACATAAGTACTCTAAGGGGGCGTGCCTACCCAGGCGACAAGAGGATTAGGCTAGTCACTATATTCCGTCAAAATCATTTAGCGACCCTATCATTATCACACTCCCTCTATTGTATTTTCTGACGTTATAATTGTATCTAATCTTCTTATGTTAGGTGGAATAAATGCACACATACATAATCTTATGACGGTAACTGACTACTATGTCTGTTTCGCTGCTGCATTATGTAATGCGCAGTGATTTAATTGGGGAGTGCTTCTTTGGGCTGGT